TGTTATTCTATGAAAAATGCTTAAAATGCACCTTGAACATGTGCTTCCCTTAAATCACTAATAGGCACAGCTACCAAGGCAGGCATTTCTACTATTGCATGATTGAAAATGACAAAATCTTCCTTGTTTAAATATCAGGAAACAGAAACAGACATTCTGAAATACCTCACCAAAAAGATCTCCAGCACACAGAGGACACTGATGGAAACTGAGAGTACCTTAAGGTTTAGTCCAAACGATTTGGAGAGTCTTCTGATTCTTAATACCTGAAGGAGGCATTTTTGACAAAACCATGATCAAAGTAGCTGTGGGCATTGTCTCATATCTGAGCCTCACAGAGGTATGAAATATTTCCACTCCCACACTCTCATTACACTATTCTTCAAGACAGATTGTGTCACGTTTGTCACACATGGTTTGCTCTTGCCCTGAATGTTTTTGCAGCCACTGGCACTGCTGCAAAGCAAGTATAAAACACCATCAGGCTAATGCAATGCCTTCTTCTGTTCCATGATTCCTAATGCAAATGACTCTGCGAGGCCAGAGCTGGGCTCTCCTGTTTTACGCATAGTTACCTGTCACTCTATCTGCATGGGCTGCTTTCAAAGACCTCTTTGTCTGCAAGGTAAGCTCAGGCTGGAGATGATCTCAGAGCTGAAACCTCAGCCAAGGGAAGTCATTGGGCTACAAAACCCACAAAGTTAAAAATACAGGGAGCACTGGAAAATCAACAGGAAACAATTTCTGCTGACTGAGGGTTTTAGCCTTCTTCCAAACGCCAGCGGCCTGTTGGATGGAACAAAGCAGCTACATGAAAGCAGAGCATTCCTTAACTTTGTCTGTTAAAGCAGAAGTGAATGCCAGGCAAAGGTCAGGATTGTCCCTCAGCTCTGATTGTAGATCTGGACATTTTGGGAGTGAGATAGCTGAATCCCCCAGACCCTCTCCACACTTGTCTCTCCTCGCCAGTGTTCCCTGGACAATGGTTGCCAAAGGGGATTTCTCCTTTTCTTCTGGCTCTTGACATTAGCAGGGCCTGAAATTGGTCCTGGCAGTTTGGCATGAAGTACTCACCAGCTCGGGGGGTTCTCAAGCCTGTTTGCAGGTCAGGTGTCTGAGCACAGCTTTGTTTGGCCTGACTGCCTCAGGGAAACGCCTGTCAGACCAACTTAGTCAGACTGCAAGAGCCCTTCATCGAATGAAGATTGCCCATTTTCACCACCAGCAAAGAAGAGTGCTAAGCTCTTTGCTACAAACCATCATGGAAAAAAATTTTAGAAGAAAAGCAGAAAAAACATGAAAACACAGATCTAAAACTTCCCTTTCTTGCACTGGTGTTCACATCAGATGATGCACTCCTCAGCAACAGAAGCTGAAGGTCCAGCTCGACAACACTCTGCTTTTAGAGTGGGACATCTCTGAGGCCTATGGAGACACAGAGGTGGGGAAAATATCCTTTCATCTCCCCAGTCCACAGAGCCTCTGGAGCAAATGTATAATCTAGCAAGCTTGCCTTGACCCATTGGGGAAATCACTGATTGTGCCCAAAGCATCTGACCTCACTGAATTTGTCCAAGGCAGACTCCTCTCTCCCTAGGTCTCCTGAGATTTTTCAAATGAACAAAAAGGCAGGTGCCTTTTAGGAGTACATGTTTTCTCATCTCTGATCTGATAGGGTCACTGAAGCAGCGTGGCTGCGGCCAAGGCAACACAGTGCAACCTCTCATGAGTAAAACCCAGGCAGCCACCTGAACCACTGCCAATCCCTCTCTGTGAGCATGTCTGTCTGTCTATGTGTTTGTGTTTGAAGTAGAATTTATTTCTTGGCAATAGGAATTTTCCTTCTCTTTTCATTGTAATTGGAAGTTACAATGATGTAAGATCATGTAAGGGTGCTGCTTTAAAAAGTTTACGCAGGGCCGCAGACGTGAAATCTCATTACATCATCGGGTCACCAGTCCACAGCCATTGCTTTAAAATTATGTGGATTTTAAAAGGAAAGTTGGAAATTATTTTTTCATTTGTCGTCTGGCCTTTGAGCCTTTACAGGTGCACTAGTTCTCCATTGGCAAGTTTTTTCCATGAGTTCATGAGGACAAAACATGCTGCTTTCTTTTTTTTTTAATGTATGAAAGTTGTTCCTGGCAATATCTTTTGGTTCCAACTAATAGAAGTAGCAGAAGAACATTAAGCAGTACAAGGATCTCAATAAAGTCATAAGTATTAGCAGCACCATCTGACTGTTCTGGTATTAGATAGCTACTGGTTAGAAGGTGATTTTACTGCTGCCCAGTATTCATCATACTAAGTCTGAAAAAATGCTTTAAAAGGAAAGGGAAAAAACTGCTCAAAGGGAGAAGCCTAAATTTCTGCCTCAAAAAATGAAACCTGTTTATTTATATTTATCATAATCACCCCTGTGTCTTTTGCTCTGCACAGATGAAATATTCTTTGCCAACCTTTCCAGCCTTGCAAGTCATGCCTTTTTTAAAATACAAAGTGTTTTAATGATTGAGCAACTCTGTTAATAACTTACCCAGCCTTTGCTAACTCTTTAACAGTAAAAGTCTTAATAAGCAAATCGCATCAGGTGACCTCTGCTTATCACCTTCCTGCAACATAATGAGGTTTAAACAGGTTTAAATCTTTTGTATTAGGTTTATAGCTGGCCAGTGGCATGGCAGCCTACTCAGACATAATTCTAAATGGATGCCTCCAAGTGGAAACTTGGAATTTGATTTCAAATTACTTTACCTCTTTTTATTATTGTTGTTGTTATTATTATTATTCCTTCCTGCATGCATTTTTCAGTCTACTCATTCTTAATTCCTCCGGTACTTACTACTGCAATAAACCTAATCCTGTGTACTTTTACACCCCAAGTGTGGGAGCCACAAATACTTCTGCAGTCTCTTAGGGCAAACCAGCTATAATTGGATCTCCAGTTGCCTCACAGAAAAAAAAAAGAAGGAAAGGCACATATGAGATGAAGAAAATTCTGCATCTGTGTGTTTGTGTATGTGTTCCTGCTGCCCTTGAGTAACACTTTGTCCTTTTGCAGGCCGAGTTCTCCGAGTTGAACCTGGCTGCTTACGTCATGGGTGGCTGCATGGTGGACATGCAGGTGATGAGGAACGGCACCAAGGTGGTGAGGTGAGAGCACCAGCTGCTCTTGAAAAGTGGGCTTTGTGGAGCAATGTTGGGGCAAGCAGGTTGGCCTCAGGACGTGACAAATATCTGAATCAGGGCACCACAGTCCTGGTAGCTTCAAGGATTCTTGGAAGTGGTGAAAAGACTGGTCTGACTCTAGTGGGTTTATTTCAGGTCTCAGGTGCACACTATGCCATATAATCTTTGTTTCCAGTCTAGACCCTTCATGCAACAGCAAATGCCTCCTTCTCAGGTTCTTTTTAGCCTCCAGACTCCCAATAAAAGGGGCAACAGATCTCCTCCCTTGATTGTTTTCTCCTTCTCTGTCAACTAACCCTCATTTTAAACAGTGGCTCTAATTCATTAGCCTACCTGTCTTAGGCTCTGATCCCATGGACTACCCTCGCAATAGCCTCCAAGCCCAGGTGACCAAGAGCAGCCGTGAGAAGAGGACTCAGGAGTGTTGGAGGACAAGATTGACATAAGCCAGCAGTATGCTCTGACAGCCCTGAAAGCCAACCACATCCTGGGCTGCCTCCAAAGAAGCGTGACCAGAAGGGCAAGGGAGGGGATTCTGCCCATTTTGTCTGTTCTGGTGACCCCCACCTGGAGCACTGCCTCCAGCTCTGGGGCACCCAATGTAAGAAGGACATGGACCTGTTAGAGAGTCCAAAGGAGGGCCATGATATCCATCAGGGGGTGGAAACACATCTCCTGTGAAGACAGGCTGAGAGCTGGGGTTGTTCAGCCTAGAGATGAGAAGGCTCCAGGGAGACCTTATAGGACCTTCAAGTACCTAAAGGGAACTACAATAGAGTTTTGTAAGGGCACATAGTGATAGGACAAAGGGGAATGACTTTAAACTGAATGGGGTTAGATTTTGGCTATACACCAGGAAAATACCCTTCCTTTACTGTGGGGATGGTGAGGGACAGGCACAGGCTGCCCAGAGAAGGTGTGGATGCCCAAGCCTGGCAGTGTTCAGTGTTGGATGGTGCTTTGAGCAACCTGGTCTAGTGGAAGGTGTCCCTGCTAGTGACAAGGGGGTTGGAACTGGATGACTTTTAATGTCCCTTCCAATGCAAACTATTCTGTGATTCTATGACCCTGATGCATGTAGCCTGATTTGCTCCTGAAATACCACGTTTTTCTTTGTGAGAGATTCCCAGTGCTCTGGCCTTGCCCTGGGGTATATCTCAGAGGTAATACCATCTATTTGATGGGGATTTCAGTCCTACTAGCATTACTTCATTACTGCAGTCATTGCAAGCAGCCTCTTTTCACAAGCAATTCTCCAATCACACATCCAATTCACTTCCCAAAAGCATTCCAAGCACCAGAGTGGCAGCAATTTGGAGCTAATATTAGATGCATCTTTACAAGTTCTATATAAAGAATAGTGCATTTTATCACATCTGTGTACGATGCCTCTGTTTACCTTCACCAATATCACCTTCCACCCTATTATTATTTATGGGTTTCTGTCATTACAACTCTACATTTCATCTTTTATACAATAACTTTTCTCTGTGTTGAAATCTCATTGCTGAAGCCACTCTGCTTCCTTTTGTACAGTTCCTTTGCACTTTTTGGTGTATTCAGCATCCTTGAGTTTAATAATGTTGACACAGTTAATCAATGCTTTTGTCTGTTTGCAACTAGTTCAAAATTAGAGGTAGAGACACATAATGTAGCATGCAGTGATATTTTTGGAAGGGATTATTAGGACAGCTGAAAAACTGTGATTTTGAGCATGCTGGCCGCAGTTTAATTACTCAAAATCTCATTTCCAGTCCAAACAGTGCAAAGCAAAACATGTCACTGTCAATTAGCTATGACTGTGGTCCATCAATTCATTTCAGGTCTCAGCATCTCTCTTGTACATCCACAAGTCTCCATTTATTCTTTGGTAAAATTTCACGAGCCTCTGCTAAAAACCTTTAGAGTTGTGTCTGTTACATGCATTTGCTTTCTCCTGTCCCACAAATGTCTGTTTCAGAGTGAAACAAAGCACTATGTCCCATGAACCAGCCGCTGGAGCACTCATCAGGCAGCGTGCAGCGCTAATGCACTCCTGCGTTCGCTTGCTCATGATGCTGGAAGGTTTCCCAAGAACCATTTCCTAGGTTGATCACATCTTCATTTTCCTTCCTGTGTCTTTCCTCCCAAAACCATTCATACATCTGGCAGAAAGATCTTGGGCTATTAAACTGAAACTGAAGACAAAATTTATTTCACAAAGCTGTCTGGGGCATGGTGTTCATGTTTCTGCTCACAGTGAACACACAGGTATTCCAGCTACCATTTTTGCATGGATATTTATATGTGAAATATGTGGTTTTTTTGAATGGCATTACCTCAGGGTTATTTTTTTTGTTTTGTTTTCATTCCTGCATGTTTAAGGACACATTTACATTGTGGGAAGTGAATTTGGTAAATGCATACTTGTCTGGATATGCAATTTATATAGCATATACTAGATACCACAATCCTTGCAACCAGCAAATATTTATTTACAGCCTGTGCTGATGTGCCCCTGTTGTGCCTAGCTCAGCGAATTTAAGACCTCAGGTCAGCCAACTTCCACAGTAATTCTCTAGAAGGGGTAGAAATTAAAATGCTTCTTCACTTTAGAACGCAAATTGTGGAACTGAGCTGTGTAGAGGCACCTCAGCCCATCCACATGGGTGCAGCTGCTTCCCACTCCCTTCAAGCCCCATCATCCCATCCACAGCTGTGTCCTGCCTGGCTACAGACACCCTTCAGAGTGCCCAGCCACAGGGAACATCTTCAGCTCACATGTGTGTGCCAGCCCTGCTGCTGCTGTCATCTTTTTTCCATCACTTATTAGGCCTCTGTTAATTATTGAACAAAACATTCAGTCAAAAGTCATAAAGCTTCTAGATGGTAAAATATAATACTCACCATATTTTTTGATTGCCCAGAGTCATGGAAATCCCACTGACAATTTATAAGAAGGTAAATACAGCAACATCTTTCTAACAAGCACTTTTGGCATTCCCCCCTGCAGGAGCCTTGCCTGCTCCACATTCCTCTTCAAAGGGAGACCAATAGAATGTAGTAGTTTAGTGGAAAGACAGTGAATATACTACAGACCAGTAGATTTAAATCCCTGAAATGATAAATTTCTTAAGAGCAACAATTAATATTCATATTCATATGAAGCAACTACTGGGCTGTCCTCTCCAATTTGATGTTATGTTTACTGATAAGCTACCTAACAATTTATTAGCCTATTAAATTCTGCCATTTTTGTGCAGGCCTCCTAGTTCTTTCTTTAAACTGGAAATACCCTCTGGCACATGCAAAGCCAAGTTTAAACCAATGTCTTTTTCTGCTGATCACTTGGTATTTTCTGATACCTTGGAGTTAAGGCATTCTTTCACACCCCATGTCAACTGATTTGAACTACACCAGGAATACATTGTGGTTGTTTTACCTGGAAGATAAATCTCCTAATAAGAAGGTATAACAGTCCTTAAAGCCTTCCATTTACCACCTGCCTCAGGAAAATAAAAAAAAAAAAAAAGATGCTTTAGAATTGGAAATTATAGAAAGCAAAGACATGGACATATACATGACTCCTAGCCTGTGTATCTTGAAATAAGTTGCTACAAGTAAGTTACCAAATAATCTAACTGAAGCCAGGCATTTCTTTGCTTGCCTGAGTTTTAAAACAAACATGGCTCCAAGAATTTAATTTTACAGTAACAATGTTCTGGGTCTCCAGCTTCTCTTTTTTAGCTACTGTGCATTCTGCACATCTGTATGAGGGGGTGGAGGATTTGAGATAGTGTCAGTGAAATGTGCTACTGGAGACAGAGGCTATCATCTAACAAATCTAAGAAACTGCATCTGTGTTTTCTGTGCCAGTTCCACCATGGTTTGCAAAGGATACATCAGCCTGTTCAGCACGTTTCCTTCAGACAGAGAGCTGGCCATGAAGTATCTTGTGCAGTCTCTATCAAGCACTTTTCCATGCCAGTGCCCTGTAATCCTTGCCCTCCAGTGGCTGAGGTCACTGGTGGGATGAGCTGGGCACCAGGAGCAGTGCTGGGCTCATCCAGGACTGGTGGGATGGGGAATCTCCCACACATTGGTCCTTGCTACCCCAGCACTTATTTGGAAAAAAATTGGCAGCAGACCTTCCCTATTGAAAAGTTAAATATGGGAAGCAGGAGGTAGTGTTTATTCATCCCAAAGGATCCATCACCAGTTTAGACATAGCAACTCTTACAACAGAGAAATGGAATAATTTCTGGGTGCAATAGCTGGAGTACTAAAGAGTGTGTAAATACAAGTGTGGGTTCATGCCTACCCTTGGGTGGATTCTTCATCCTCCTCCCAGTGCATACACAAACTCCTTTTGGACAGGTCTACACACACAAACAGAAAAAGACGGAGTGAACCATCTGGAATCTAATTTACTCTAGAAAGCTCCTGGACTGTGTCACTTTTACTGGGGTTAGATGTGAGGAATGGGATTTTTATTTTCACATTCCACTGAAGGGTCCTTCATATCAATATTTTGGCAGTGTAAGGAGGCTGTCAATGTTGACACTGCACCCACTCTGAGGTGCATTTATGCTTCAGGATATTATCAAAGTGTCCAAGTAGAAATGAAAATTTGGGCTGTGTCTGTTGCTGACAGCAACATTTAGACTCCCAAGCTATGATCTCAGGTTCTGTAGTCAATTAAATGCTTGACTGTTGGGCTTCACAAGATTTCAGCTATTAATTCCAGTAGATATAAGGCAGGGATATGTTGAAAGTCTGGACAGCTCTTTTACCTGGGGAATACTAATGTCTTTGGGAGTATTTCAGACCTTTAAGGATATAAATTAATCATGCACCAGACTGTTCTCATCTCCTGTCTCCCTGTAGAGCTTCCTCTTTTGCCATTGGGGCCGATCATCCAGGAGAGAAAGCACATTTTCATGGGACCTATCAGCACTGTGGCTGTCATGCCCCACTTGCAGTCATGGTGGGGGCAGTGAATTCTCCAGTTTGTCCACACAATCCCATTCATTCCTGTAGTTAA